ATGTTTATTGTACATACATGAAATTTAGATTCCAACTCTACAAAATGATCTATATGGAAAATGTTTTATAAATATATACCTCATTTATGATTGATCAACATCTGACTCTATCTCTTGTCTTGAATAGGCATCTGTACTTGGTTATGGCACTGGTGAATCATGTGGTACATGCGATTGACCTCCTTTATCAACTACTACTGCCTGTGACATTACTATGGTCTTGTTTACCTTCTCTCTGTAATTTTATATAAAAAAATAAATATCTTTTATTTACCTTGTATATTTCAGTAGGGATAGATACAAATGTATCTTACATATTTTAAAATTAAAATTTCTTTACAGACAACTCAATCGATACTCAGTACGATTAGATCGGAAGGGTTAGAAGAACAGTATCATGAGTACACCTGGATGTATTCAACAGTGAGTCTTATCCTGGGTAAATATATATGCATACAAAAATGTATGTCTTGTTAATTATTAAGTAAAAAAAAAAACTGGTGTGTGTAAAAATTGATTGAATAATGGTTTAACAAAATCAGCTAAATGTGATATCCAGCTTTAATGGTATACTAAGTACATTTACATAAACATGTATTCGGAAAATAACCAGTGGTCACGAACAGGTAACAGACTAGTCATTTAATGTAGTATGAAAGTGAGCATGACAAGTTCACAATATTAGTGATAAGGCTAAATGCATTTATATATAAGCTTACCATATAATTGAACTTTTTATTGGCATGATATTGTTCTGTATAAATAAATATGTTATAAATATACTAGTGCTCTTGGAGTTTATAATTGTTGTTATCTTTTTCAAGACTGCATAATTTATAAATGGCACATAAACAAACATTTGTCACATTTATGATAATTTTCCTATATTTACAGTTGTCGTCATTGTCTTACTAGTTTGTTGTGGGAGATACGTGTCAAAGAAAAGGCACAGATCTAGAAACAAAAACAGGAATGATATTGAGATGTCCTCTGACATAATGTTTGAAGTTCCAAGAAATCCACCACAAATTTTGAAATCGGATTAGCTATTTTAATAATATAAATGTAATATGTGTGAGCAGAAGTCTATTATGGATTACTAAAGTAAAAAAATCATTGATTACAGGTGGCCATTGGCAGTATATTATTTTGTTGGCTCTACCTATAGTGCAAAGACGATTGCCCTTCATGTTTGATGTGGTTTTCTTCAACAATGTACACCGTCTACTTCATGTGCTACATCGTCAAAGACCTCCTACCCCACCAAGACTCGTTTATCAACCACAACCAACTCTAAGAAGATCTAACAGGGTACGGCGACGGATACAGAGGTTAAGTTTGTAGTTTACATGCTTTAAAGTTAAACACTTTTGTTTATGCTTAATTCAACACTGATTCTCCTAAGTCTAAGAATCCGATAAATATAGAGAAAATGTAATGCTTTATATCATTATATTGTATCCATTTAATCCCATATATCTGATTCTTAGGTAGAAATAGTAGACAATGGTAACTTTTCAATATTGTTAAATTATAAGTGGAAAATGTAGTAATTACCTTTCATGCATAACATCCACCACCATCATCTTTATTCTGGTTCCATGCCCAGTGTTGTTGTCCAGGCATCTCACCAACTCGTATAACCACACAAGCTTTTCTGAATCCACCCAGTACAGCAGTCTAATTCCATCTTGGGTGCTGGAATGTGCTAAGTTGCGGTAAATTCCAGCAAGGTCTTTATCCAGACTTGCTGTCTGGTCTATTGAATTTAACATGCTCTCAGTCTCCTGTTTAGTACTTATATCTCTATTACACAAATTGCATGGTGTGTGTATAACTGGTAGATCGTAAAGTGTGATCTTTTCATATCGCAACTTAAAATCCATGGTTGTAGTGTTTTGGAAAAGCCTTTGAAGAGCAATGTTCAGCAAACTTCTGTTACTTTGGATATACATTATTTTGAATGGAGGTTTCCCCTCCCAACTACATATATGTAAATCTGAATGTGTTAGTTTTCATTTGGAGGAGGAGTGTGAAATCAACTTTTCAAAGTTAGGGGGGTGGAGATCTGGATTGAAAAAAATAAATAAAGCTGTCCAATCAAATTTGATTCCCATTTTCAGCATACATTTTTTGTACTTTGTTTCATTTCTTTTTTATATTTATCATGTTTATATATACAAGTCACTATTAAGCTTGTAGGTTGAAGTTGAAATATATTAAATAAAGTGTTTTTTAAACTGTTTGTGGAAGATATAAAGTGTCTTGTCTTTTTTTTTTTTAATATGTTAAGATTTCAGCATAATTTTTATCCTTTCTTATTAGTTGATTAGTCAATACAAATGTTTTTAGTATTTTACATTAGACAATGGAAATATAATTTCACTGACAATAATTTTGCACTTCATACATTGTCTCAAATTTTATTGTTTTAGATCTGGGCATTGTTGATAAAAAAAAATTGAGATATATGTACATTGTATACAATGTATGTGTTTTATGCACGTGTACTTGCTAGACTTAAATGTTAATTTTGTCAGAGGATATAATGTAGCAGTAGTGATTTTATTACCAGTATTACTAGAAGATATTTGGTACTATTGTAATTTGTGATTTTCATATGAATGCGGCTTTAGTAATTACAAAAATCATTTAACTTTCACAGAAGTCTGTTATGTTTACACCACAAAATGTTTGGTTTCATTTTCGGTATAAGTATTATAATTGATTTTCATTGTGAAAAATATTTCATTCCAAAATACTCCAAATTCCCTGTGACTTAATTGTGTCAAATATTTTTAAATAATTTTTGCACTTACTGTTTTGAATGGTTATTAATTTTCCCTGTTTTAATTTTCTAATCAGTTTTATTTAAACTTACTCATTCCTAACAATGTTTCTTTCAAAAGATGAAAAAGTTTTTACATTGTTATTTTTTAGTTGTGTAGAATAGTGTATTTTTTATCAAAGCAATGGTGCTGATCTTGATTTTACATAAAGCATTTGTTTACTTGCAATCAAATGCAGGTGGTAGTTTTTATATGAATGATGTTTATATCGTATCTGTGATTTTTAGTAGTTGTGTTACTGTTTTACATTTTTAATAACATTCAACTACTTCAACATACTCAATGTTTTTCCATAATTTTAAAACTTTGTGAATACAAAATATACTTTATTACTAGTCATTCATACTCGTTTTTATACTCATTGCATCATTTCAAAGCTGTCTCATGAAAATTTCTCCATCAGTTTGCTATACATTTCTTACAATACTGGTTTTTGTTGAATGTTTTTATGATAGTATTAATAATTTGTATATCTGTGATTTTTATTCTTGTAGTGATAGTTTACATTCAACTTTCATCTCCACTACCTCAAACTTTAATATATATAGTACCAAAATACACTCATAACTAGTCATTTACTTCTTTGCATATTACAAGCACTACTGATGAGAATTAAATGTTTGAAACATAATTTTTAGGGCATTAATGTGTGTCCTCATTTTTATACTCATTACTCATTGCATTGATAAAGTTAATAACTAGTCATTCATTGTTTGAATATTTGATTTCCTTACATTATTTTTCTAAAATTAAATCTTAAGTAAGTATGGTTTCCAACACTGGTCAAATACTGGTTTTTGTTGAATGATTTCGTATTTTGAATCATTGTAAATTTTTGATTTTTTTTTTTAAATTTTCATTCAAATTTTTTCCTGTTCAAAAATCTTAAATATTTTGAAAACAATAGTGTTCACTGAAAATGACATTCCAAAGTTTCTTTATTCAAGTTATCATTCATTGTTTGAATATTTGATTTCCTTACATTATTACATTACGGGTCAATTTTTGTCATTAAATTTTAAATGTTCATCCCTTTTCTTTTTTTTCCATCTTCAAAATTTTTTATTGAAATTTTGTGCTCATTTTATATGAAAATATACTTTTACATGTTTTAGATACCAAATTAATGTTTGTTAAAAATTTACATTATTTTTATTGAATGAAAATAAAAATTGTTATGAAAATGTCTTCATTTATTTCACAGGCTGTCTTTGAGGTTAATCACCTCATAATGGATATTTCACATGTTTTGATGTTTGGTATGTTGTAAGAGGTTAATGCTTATGCACCTGCTGAGTCAATTACCTACTTTTAATAACACAGATTTTCTAACCTGTTGTTTTATTTTAAGTGGCATATGGTGCAACATGTATATGTTCTTTGATTGATTGATTGATTGTTGGTTGCTTAACGTCCAGTGGCAAATATTTCATGCATATTCAGGACGAGAACAAGTTCACAATAAATACAATAGGTAGGTTCTGTAATAGATTAAGGGATTAAGGTCGGAGAAATTTAGACTGCCACGGGAAATGAGGGTATATTGGATAGGGACAGAAATTTAGCCTTGCAACAGGTCACCTACGGACCCCTCAAAGAGTTGTTGCAAGGGTTCTTAACGTGCAAAGAACGTGGCACTTTCTTTACACGAGGCATCGGATTTAACGTCCCCATTCTGACCGGACGTGGCTGCAAATTTGTACATCCCGCACAGCCAAACGGACGCCCCACTTCAGCACGGGTTTTACTGCCGGTCGGAGGAAGACCAATGGTGACCATACTTCTATTCCCCAGTCACCCTTGGGGGGTATGTTCTTTGAAAAGAGAAGTCATCAAAAACATAATTTCATTTACATCCGTTTCAAAATGAACTTTTATTACTACAGGTGCCATCGGAACTGAAAATCCTGGGAAAACTTGTATGTTTCTTTGTCCTCGCAGACATTTGGAAAGATAATTATTCTAAATCAAATAGTGTTTTCTGCAAACATGACCAAAAAAAAAAAATCCTGAGAAAAAGGTTGAAATTTAGGTATCAGGTAACTGTTATCAGACATCTTGTATATTTGACCTTAACAAAATAGTCAACCTCAGTCAAGGATCTAAAAGAAATCTATGGAAAGTAATGAATCACAGACAAAACTTTTACTTTTATTCAATATTTTTATGAAGTGTCACATTTAATGCATTATCTATGGACTTGTCTATAGCATTCTGAAGTCTCTCCAGATAGTTCCATTGGTTCAAGTTCAAATACAGTCCAATTGAAGTAGCTTGTCCTCTGTTAAACCTTCTTATGTCCAGTATAACTGATTCTTGATACCTGCACACCCTTACATATAGTTCGTTGTCTGGTAACTCAAATAACTGAATGCAATGAGTGTCATTCCAGGGAAAGTCTGACTTTAATAATAGCTGTATACATCCTGTTTTGTTATATCCTTTATCAATTTTATATAAAGAACTGGTCAAAACCAGTGTCGTACATATCAGAGATAACATGATGCAGATTCCAGTAATTTTTATTACGCCTAGATGGAAATCGTAGTTGCGATATATTGAACTCAGACTGGATCTAATGCTTGCATACTGGCTCGATGAGTTATCAGAAAGCATGGTAACTGATGTGTGGTTGTTGAAATATATGACATAGTCAGACACAGTTACCATTTTTTAAGCAATTCTATCAGAACGTCGCCATGACAGGGGGCTGGGTGGCACCAACAACCTAGATTTTTACCTCTAAGTTCACTCAATGATTCAGACAATGTCTTGCCATTATAGACCGTGGTATCAGTTATGAACAGATATATCATGTTAAGGAGGGGTATTTGCGAAAAATACCAGTCGAGAGAATGTTAAATTTCGCGAGCCGTAAGGCGAGGGAAATTCATTCTCAAGACTTGTATTTTTCGCAAATACCCCTCAAGAACATGCTATATCTGTTTAATTACACCGAATGTTAACGTACAAAACGCATTGATGATCGTGACATAAAACGCATTGATGATCGTGACATTACAAGCGTCCAGTCGGATAGAGTATTTTTTGGCAAATACCACGGCAGAGAGGGTAAAAAGGCATATCCTTTTTGCATATACCCCGGCGCTGTTTAAAAATGAACGATATTCATTTGATAAAAGTAAATTGGTGAAAAATACACTGGCTATCAACCAATCAAAACCCTGGATTTTTACATAAGGTGTATTTAATATGTATATCCTATATAACTGGATACATTTATTGCGTCCATATGTCTTTACCTGGAAAGGATTCTGCCATTTACTGCCTTCAACATAAGATGTCATACCTCTACCTATATAAACATTATTTGAATTGGACATCCAATGCTGCAAGTCCCTATACCCTAACTGGTTCAATATTGACTTCTTTACACACACCAATGTTGCCATTTAAAATATATGGAAACTGCGCTTAATGATATTACATATCACTGAAACATTTTCAACCGATAACATTCCTTACATACTGAATGACGTCACACATTCCTAACCTACAACATTCCTTACATACTGAATGACGTCACACATTCCTAACCTACAACATTCCTTACATACTGAAGGACGTCACACATTCCTAACCTGCAACATTCATACATACTGAATGACGTCACACATTCCAGACATTGCAATATATTGCAAGAAAACTATCTAGAATCCCCAATACAACACTACTCATATATCGCCTTGTTGTCCACTAGATACTTTAACTTTAAAAACTAAGGATTTTCTTATCCCAGGAATAGATTACCTTAGCCGTATTTGGCACAAATTTTGGAATTTTGGGTTCTCGATGCTCTTCACCTTTGTACTTGTTTGGCTTTATAACTATTATGATCTGAGCGTCACTGATGAGTCTTATGTAGACGAAACTCGCGTCTGGAGTATTAAAATATAATCCTGGTACCTTTGATAACTATTAACAAGTTGTGTAATGAATAAGTTGTGGAACATGTATGAATTCAATCAACTGTAGATCAAATTATGTAATTGTTAATAAGCAACTATAGGTTTTTATTATTCTTTAAACAATGGTAAGGCATACTATAAAAAGTCCTCCATTACATGCTACAAAATGAAAAAAACTAGAAGAACCCCAACAGTTGGGTTTACATACTAAAGCAACAAGCAATCACATGATTAACAGCAACAAACAAAATACACGTTTGCCCTAAAAATTAATGAAAACATCTTCTTCATTACACAACAATCTGAAGTATCTAGTGGAGAAACATCAGCTGTGATAAAGGTGATACATGTTCAATGATGCAGATGATAGTACCATAATATACTCTCATAAGAACCCAGAAGTTCTGAGAAACTGGGTAAGGAACGTGAATCTTGCAGCAAATGGCTGATTGACAATTAATTATCACTTCATTTGAGGAAAACAGAAACGTAAATTATCTATAATTCGTAACTTTGACGTTACTTGTAATAATCACACAATTTCATCGCAAAATTGTGTGAAATATATAAGCCCGAATATTGATAATTCTCTTTCTAGAGAAAAAAATTTAAATATTATTCAAGAGATAAATTCGAGATCGAAGTTCCTATACAGACAGGCCAAATGTTTATCAGAACAATCTAGAATAAAATGCTCCGCAGGGCGCAGCTTGATACGACCGCAGAGGCTGAACCCTTAACAGTTGGGGCAAGTATGGACACAACATTCAAGCTTGATACAGCTTTGCATTTGGATTGTGATTAAATATTTGACACAGCATAGGTTTCTGACTCAGAATGAATGTGTTCTAAGAACTTAAAAATTTTAAATTGGACATTCACCTATTATGGTCCAATATCCAAAATCTAAATACATGGTTAGATTCAGCATATCAAAGAACCCCAAGAATTCAATTTTTGTTGAAATCAAACAAAGTTTAATTTTGGACCCCGATTTGGACCAACTTGAAAACTGGGCCCATAATCAAAAATCTAAATACATGTTAAGATTCAGCATATCAAAGAACCCTAAAAATTCAATTTTTGTTAAAATCAAACTAAGTTTAATTTTGGACCCTTTGGACCTTAATGTAGACCAATTTGAAAACGGAACCAAAAATTAAGAATCTAAATACACGGTTAGATTCGGCATATCAAAGAACCCCAATAATTCAATTTTTGATGAAATCAAACAAAGTTTAATTTTGGACCCTTTGGACCTCAATGTGGACCAATTTAAAAAGGGGCCCAACATCCAAAAACTAAATACACGGTTAGATTCAGCATATTTAAGAACCCCAAGAATTCAAGAATAAAACCCCATTGAAATTGGTCAAGAAATAAGCAATTTATACGAAGTATCTTCTTTTGCACAATACTGTGCAATTAAATATTTCTTGCTATTGCGTAATACTGTACAATTGACAATTTCTTGCTATTGCGCAATATTGTGCTATTGGATATTTCTTGCTATTACGCAATACTGTGCAATTGAAGATTTCTTGCTATTGCGCAATACTGTGCAATCGAAGATTTCTTGCAATTGCGCAATACTGTGCAATTGAAAATTTCTTGCTATTGCACAATACTTATTATATAATAATTTACACATCCTGTTTGGTGTGTATCTCCTACCATATCATTATTATTTGCTTTTAAATATAAATCAGAAATAACCAACTTAAAATGGAAAATTTTAAAAGAAAAAAAAAGGAATAAAAGAAAAAAAAGGAAAAAAAAAATCCCCCCCTCAAATTTTTGAACCCCCTTATGATTCATCACCCCCAAACTCAATCCCAGCCTTCCCTTTGTGGTATGGTACCTTGCAGTACAATTTCAGAGAGATCCATACACTTGAACACAAGTTATTGTCTGGAAACTAGAAAAATGTGTTTTTTGGCCCCTTTTTGGCCCCAAATTCCTAAACGTTTAGGGCAATTACCCCCAAACTCAAACCCAGCTTTCCCTTTGTGATATGGAACCTTGTAGTACAATTGCAGAAAGATCCATACACTTACACACAAGTTATTGTCCTGAAACTAGAAAAATGCTTGTTTTTTGCCCCTTTTTGGACCCTAATTCCTAAAATATTGAGGCAATTACCCCCATCATCAATCCCAGCATTCCTTTTGTGATATGGAACCTTGTGGTACAATGTCAGAGATCCATACACTAATACACAAGTTATGTCTGGAAGTTACAAAACTGCTTATGTTTGGCCCCTTTTTGGCCCCTAATTCCTTTACTGTTGGTACCATAACCCCCAAAATCAATCCCAACCTTCCTTTTGTGGTATTGAACCTTGTGGTAAAATTTCATACAGATCCATTCATTTAAACTAAAGTTAGAGTGCGAAAACCAATGTGTCTTCGGACGACGACGACGACGCCAACGTCATACCAATATACGACCACAAAAATTTTTTTGCGGTCGTATAAAAACTTGTTACAGCTTTAAATCAATGTCATTTTGACTATGCCTGTTCTGCATGGTATGCTGGTGTCAGCAAAAAATATAAAGATAAGTTACAAGTAGTGCAAAACAAAAATGTGTTAAGAGTTATAAAAAAATACTGGATATAGATCAAAAGTTGACCATAATGTAGTGAATAGTATTTGTTACCTTAATATTGAAAATCGTGTTAAACAATTGAGATTAAACCATGTTCATAATATTTATTACCACCATTGTTCTTATTATATGTATACAAATTTAACAAAGGCGAGACATTTTCATCATCATTTCACACGAAATTGTGAATATAACTTCTGGGTTCCATCGGTAAAGAGATAACAAAAAAATACATTTTATTTTATTGGCATACAAGATTGGAATATGTTGCCAATTAGTGTCAGAAAATAAAGGAATTCAAAATAAGCGTTAAAGAGTACTTGACCAAAAATTAAAAGTGCGGCTTCATCCGACTCCTTTTTATATTATCAAACTTTTTTTTATTTAAATTATTTTTATATGAATTTTTTATGTCATATTAATGTGTGTGTTATCTTTTTTGTATGTCGAAACTATAAGCCGTTTACATGAAGGGTACCCCATTGGAAACAAGCTTTAGAGCTTTAATGGTGTGAACAGTATATCTAATATATATGTTCCTGATACATCCGAAGTTCCAATATGCAATGAATTGATTGTTGGTTGCTTAACGTCCAGTGGCAAATATTTCATGCATATTCAGGACGAGAACAAATTAACAATAAATACAATAGGTAGGTTCTGTAATAGGGGCGTCCGGTATTAAAGTCGGAGAAATTTAGACTGCCACAGGAAATGAGGGTATATTTGGATAGGGACAGAAATTTAGCCTTGTAACAGGTCACCTACGGACCCCTCAAAGCGTTGTTGCAAGGGTTCTTAACGTGCAAAGATCGTGGCACTCTCTATACACGAGGCATCGGATTTAACGTCCCCATTCTGACCGGACGTGGCTGCAAATTTGTACATCCCGCACAGCCAAACGGACGCCCCACTTTAGCAAGGGTTTTACTGCCGGTCGGAGGAAGACCAATGGTGACCATACTTCTATTCCCCAGTCACCCTCGGGGGGAATATGCAATGAAAGGTATGTTTTTATTTCAAGACACCATTAAGTGTTGCTTTGATATGCATTGACAGTCACTTTATTTGAGGTTGAGAAAAATAGCTGTGCCTGGTTCAAATTGAAGAACCTACTACAGTCATCAATGGACTATAATATTCTCCGGAGATGCAACTTTCTGTACTTACAACGACAAAGTTATTTTTCTACCTTTCAATCTACCTGAATGACTCATCATGAATGTGTACAATTGAATAAAAAATATTTCATTTCCATGAGAGGTACCCTAAAGGGGAAGAGTGCATATACAGAATAGAATAGAATATTTTTATTTCCCAAATTACATGGCCCATAAAGGGCATAAAATCAGATACAATTGATTTACATAATTGGTAACAACAACAATAATAGTCACTTAAAAATATATATTTAGTATATTAGCATTGGTCAGAATCAGAGCCAAAAACCACATATATATATTGTGAATAAAAGAATAAAATTACATTATATGCATTCATTCTCAAATCATTTACTTGACTTAGTGTCAATATGCATACCTGATCTCCCAGTTTTTCCACAAGAGTTACATTTTCTTGAGTCAAGAGCCATAAAAATTTAGAAGATTTATTTAAATTTTTAAAATTATAACAATTGTCAGATATGTATTGAAAAAAGTCTTCCCTTTGAGTATCATAAAGAGGACATTCTAACAAAAAATGAAGCTCATCTTCAACTTTACCAAGTGAGCAATTTGAACAAAGACGCTCAGATCTTTCTATATATTTTTTTGAATATCTGTCTGTCTCAATTTTTAAAGAGTGAGCACTTATTCTTAATTTACAAATTGACTGTCTTTTTTTAAAATCCTGTAGTTCTAAATATTTTTCTTTTT